TACTAACACTACTACTATTACTAGCAGGACTATCACTACTAACAGTAACACCTACCACAGCGTCGGCTTGTTTCACGGGGGTGGACACTCCCGTGGATCTAGTGGACACCATCCGTGCAGGTCTGGGTGAGGGGCTCAGCTGCGGGAGCGTAGGACGGATGTCGAATCGCTCGGGACTCTCCAACTTCTCCTGGGAGCGAAGCCGGATGTGGTCCTGAATCACACTTTGCGCCTGTCGCAGAGGACACGTACGGAAAACCTTAACTCTGACCTAAAACCATGACCCTGACCCCAATCCTAACTCTAACCTTCACCCTCACCCAAACCCCAATCCTAACCCTCACCCTCACCCTATACCAGGGTAAAAAAAATACACGGGAGCGATGAGCGATTCGCTCTTCAAACCTTCGAAATCGCTCCCGTGATGCTCAAAATAGCTCCCGTAAAATTTTTGACGAGAGCTATTTTTCCCAGACTTTTTCCCAGACAGAAAAAGAGCTACCGTGAAAACAAAAGTAATTTTTCCCCTGACCCTGACCCTCACCCTTACCCTATACCTTGTTTAACCCCGGCCAGCTATCTGCTCACCTTCGTCTGACCAAGGCTGATGCTGGGGTCGGTGAGGAACTCTGTGAGCCTCAGATTGTTCTTGATTGCGGTGGAGGCGGTGGAGCGAGCGTGCATCGGCAGCGTGGCCTGGTAGCTCCAGTCTGTAAAGCGTGCCGCGCTGCCGCTGCTGCTGCTGCTGCCCTCTCTCTGCAGCTTCTGCAAACTACGGGGTGATACTCCATTAGGAGTGTTCCCAACTTTGATGTCATTAAATTTAATGGTCATAATAATATATATTGGTCATATATTAGTTTGTGGTTTAATGTCAGGGTTAGGGTTAGGGTTAGGGGTAGGATTATCAATCATTAATCATTAATGATATCAAAGTTGGGAACACTCCTAATGGAGCGTTAGCCAAACTACGCGAAAAAGCGCGAGTCACGGATCGACGGCCTCTCTCACGCTCGTCACTTGGTTTCTAACGTTCACATTTCACAGCAGCGACTTATGCCGTGAAATTTTCAACGCTACGTGCACGTTGCTGCTGCTCCTATTTCGTTAGCAGACGGTTTCAAGGGGTTTTTGGTTTCGCTCAGTCGCACGGACTGTGGAGCGATGCGGGGGGGGGGGGGGGAAGGCTGCGTTTGCCTTGAGGCATGAGAATTAAACCGCTTACTATGTACAGCTACGTTGATATACTTATTGGTCAGACGTCTGTCTACTTTTTACTCTTTGTTATGCTTCCCCCCCCCACGGATTCAAGCATTTTTCACTACAGAACACGTGTACGTATCACAAACTTAACTCGCATGGAAATCATTGTGTATGGCGACAACGTTGAAGTCATATTTTATTTTGTGCGTTTATGAACTTATATTCAAATGATATTACCTTCTGTTTGTCAGCAAAGCATAGATTGTTTCTATCAGCACTTGGGCAGCTCCCTCCTTGCAATGTATCGTTCCATCGATCAGATCTGTCGGTATGCACAGCTTCTGTTTCTCTATAAACTATTAATTATACGTACATTACTTGTCAATGTATGACAATATAACTTACAAGTGAGTTATGGTATAAATGTTGTGTAACTGCTGTCTGGCATGGTGGGATTGCAGTGGCGAGATAGGGGGTTTAATTTTGAGAAAGGGGTGCCTAACTGCGTAGCCGGGATTTCATTTTAGGGAGTGCAGAATAGGGGGAGGGGGGACAAAAACTAGAGGGGCACCTCCTCTTGCGCCCCCCTTGGATCTGCCACTGGATTGTAATGCAAATTGTGTCGCAATAGAGTTTACAAGCTCGTGTGGAAAAACACATACCCTTTGAAGTCGAGTCCAGTTGCCCATTTTGGACTGCAGTGAAGTTCCATTACTATAACTATGCATGTAGATGTCTTGCGGGAAATACCAGGAAAATATTTCTGCTACCAAGAACCCATTCGAGAAATCCCTGTAGAGACAGACAGTATTATTAGTAATGTGTTGTCTTCTGCATGCCCTGTTAATACGAGTACCTGTGCTTTGAAAAATCACATAGTGAGAAACGCCTCCATGTTTACGTTTGGACTCAAGCAGTGGTTTTGGGAAGCTCAGTGAGTTACAGTTAGGAAACACCCCCCACAGGCTGAGTAGGCCTATCTCACTCAGTAATGCTGAGAGGGTCTATGTCCCCCGGGGTACTGCCAGAACGTACCCTGGGTACGGTCCGGTATACCGGAACGTAGCTCTAGTACTATAGCCGCTTACATTAACTGCCGC